TGCTTGGACGAGGAAATAGACCTGGATCTGCAGATTTCTGCTCTGTTCAACGGCCTCTTCAAGGGTTTAGGCTTTCGGGTTTCGATTGAATGAAGGGGTTCTTTCAATGGTTTATGGCTTAGGGTGTAGGGTTGACGATAAACTCTTCCCAGGGTTTGGGTTTGGATGGCTTCTTTTAAGCGCTTACGGTCCGGCATTAGACACTGGATGTTTGTGAGACTTCAGGCAATGTGGTTTGCAAGTTTGAAAGGGGGTTGAGGGATGAGCGGTTTAGGGTTTTATAAGGAGGCCTTCCAGCAGCATGTTGGGCCAAAGGTGCGGGAGAGGAGAGCTTTGCGTCTGAGACCTTTGTAACTTATGGAAAACCAGTGGACCCGTTTAACGAACCGTCACAGAACCTTTCTTTGTAGAACCCTAAACCCAAAACACTGCCGGGTAACCCTTGTGTAAAGGAGCCTTGTACAGAACCCCTCTTGGCCGTATTGACGCGCACTTGAGATTCGGGGCGCAAGGCTTTCAGATTCCAATCATCCATGAAAGCAAAGGTTCTCTGCCCAGGGGTGTACACGGGTTGTAGGCACAGATGTAGAGTTCTTGAAAGCCTTACATCAAGGGTCCCCCGCAAAGGGTTCTGTATACAAGGTTCGATAAGCGGTTCGTGATAATCCTATAAGGGTCTTATGCGGTTTCGTATGACATCTGAAATCATGCTTGTAGGTTAACCCGTTTTGCTGGGGGGTGCACGATTTGGTTTAGGTACCTGGAGCCTTTGGGAAAGGGTTGTCTTGGCCCGGCCGGCGCGGCAGAAGCTGGCTTTATTGGGGCTTGTCGTGCCGGCTTGTGAATTTAGGACTTCGTCGGTATAGAAGACTTCGAAAAAGACCTTCTGCATAACCAGTATATAACCTAGACCCTGAGCCCTAAAACCAAAAAAGTGTGTGTCTGCATATATATATATATACACGCACATACATATATGTACATGTGTGTGTGTGTGCGTGTGTATGCATGTATGCATGTATGTATGTATGTATGTATGCATGCATGTATGTATGTATGTATGCATGTATGTATGAGTATGGATATGTACTGTATATATATATATATATTTATTTATTTAGATATGTATATGTACATGTACATGTATAAATATGTATAGGACACGCTTTTCAGAAAGACCCACAGTTTCTTGATTGCGGGTCGTCGGGGCCCTTGCAGGCATGCTGCCGACTTCCGGGTCACGTGGATGTCTCGCTGGGTGTTGTGGTCACCGGAGATCATCCTTATGAGACGAACGTTTTCTAGGGGCTGATGAAATGTTGGAGAGTCTTATGATGCTTGAACACAAGCTGGTAGAGGAATTTGGGGCTTTAGGGCTGGACTCTGTAGAAGGAGTAGCAACAGTTGCAGCAGTAGTATTGGGTAGTCCAGATAAAAGTCGTCGTCATGGTGGCTACTGCTGTTCTGGTTTCCTTTGCCGCCGACCTCGGAGTACTGTAGGGGCCTGAATAATTAGAATAGGGTTTTGGGGGCTCCTTACTACAATTATGGTATAATATACCCCAAACCCTAGTCTAACTGCTAAGGCCCCCATACTAGATTCAGTGCATTGCCAACCCTTGGTCTCGCCGAGCCTTATTCGGATCGGTGTGTTGAGCTGACGGATTCTCAGATCTATTTTAGGATTTTACGGGCCTTCATGCATTGGGACAGGACTTTTTGAGGTATGATTTTGGGTTTAGGGTTTAGGGTTTAGTGTTAGTAGGACTGTGATTTAGTTTACAAGCTATTTGGCTGTTTCATCAGGGACAATCCTGGCACTTCCGGTGCAGCCAAAGCATCTCTAGCTCCTTGTCGCCGGTGTAGGCCTGATGTTGGCTCTTTGGCATTGAAGTCCGCAGAGGTTACCAGTTGGGGCCACTGGGCCTCTTACGTCTCAGTTTATGTGGTACCTTATTTTGGCCTTGAGGGGCCTTCCTGTCCCATTCTATTTTACATCGACCTACAGTTGTCACTGTCCTATCCTATAGTAAACCCCAAGTCGGAAACCGGATTCAGGACAAATAGTGCTGGGATTCTTTATGCATCACTCTTCAGGATGGAGGCTATTGGGTCTCCAACTTTTGGGCTTCTACAGTATTAACCCCTTTTTGTCAGGCACTTGGGACCCTGCCTTGAAGATCTTCCTACTAGACCTGCAAGGAAGCTCCTGGCCGGAGCCGCTCCTGCACCAGATATTCACCCGCCTATGGTCTCCTGGGCCCTTATAAACCCAGAGGCCCCATGGTAGTTCCTTTTTGGGCTTTTTGGGATTACCTTGTAGGACTCTATATATGAACCCCAAAAAGGAACTACTATGGGGCCTATGGGTATAAACCCTAACCCCATATACCAAGGGTTTGGTACCCCAAAAAGGTTAAAGCGCACTTCCTCTGCTGGGTACTTCCTTAGCCCTAAGCAGTAGCAGCCTTGGCATGAGGACCCACAGGAGGCTGCCAGTTCAACGTCTAGAATTTGGGTGTAACCCCACCAAAACGGAAACTTTTTCCAGCAAGGCACCCATCGAAGAGGGTGTTGTTTTCAAATGTTTATGCTCGAGCACAGCACAGTTCTCCCTAAACCCTGAACCACCAGAAAACCAAATTCCACACCCTAGACCCTAAACACCAAGTAATACCTTTCATCGACGCCACCTCATGGAGCTTCTGCGAGTGGTGCGGCGGAATAAAGTCCTTAGAGCTACTCTCTTTGAGGATTCCTGCAAGGAATGATGGGTTTAGGGTTTACGGTTTTTTCCTCCCCTCCTAGCAAGGACGAGCCCGCATTGCAGGCTCGTCCTAGCTAGGTAGGAGGGAAAATAAAGCCTAATCCCGGGTTTCGACTCACTCTCGCACGCACAAGGCAGGCAAGGCTCCATGTAGTTCCGGGCTTAGGGTTTAGAGTTTAGGATTCCTGTAGAGGTTCCCTTAAGGCTTCCTATAATGGTTGTCACAAGAGCTCCAGTTATTCCTTAGGGTTCCTGTAAGAGTTCCTGCAAAAGTTACCGAAAGGGCTACTGTAAGGGTTGTTAGCAAGGGTTTCTTTAGGGGTTCCCTAAAAGCGTTGCACCAAATGGTCGTCGCGCGGCGAGCTAAGCAAATATAGCAACACAAGTGCGTTCTAAATGAACAGATCAAGCGATCCACGTGCACCGCCATATCCTGAACCGCAACATGCAGACGCTCCGTCTTGTGGACAAGATGGTGGCCTGAGCATTTCCTACGATATGCTGTTGGTGTATGCTGTAGTATAACAATACAGGAACTGT